GTTAATTTTATATATATTTATTTATTTATTTATTTATATCTTTTTATATATTTAAATAAATAAATAAATATTTATAAATATGTGTATATATAGGTCAAAAAATCTGATTTTTGAAATGTAAAAGTTATTTTGTTATTTTTGAAATAGGGTAAAGATAAAGTAGGGAAAGTGAATTTTTCCCTTTCCAAAATTTTCTCATTCTAATCCATTTCTCAAATGGGCCTCACTTAAGCAAGTGATAATAAATAAATAAAAATTAAAAACTTAAACCAGTCAAATATTTAATTTTTCTTTTGACAATTTAAATGATTAATAAAAAATTATTAAACCAGATGTTTAGGAATTTAGTTAAATTCAAAATTTTCAGAATTTCGTTTTAGTTTTATTTTTGTAACATTTCTGATATTGTTCCCTAAATTATGGTAAATTAAGTGATATGTTCTCTTTTGCATTTGAGATATTGAAGGATAGTACTTACTTGATTTGTCCTATGAAAAAATAACCATTAAGAAAGTATTCATATTTGCTGAAGACGAGATTTAAAAGATAGGCAGAAACTAGGAAATGTTGACGCTCACACCCAATTTGATCGTATGAAAACTAATTGGCCGTTCTCTTCGTGTTTCAGTTTTTAGTTTTGAGTTTTGAATTCATTTTGGGTTTTGTGTTTTGAGTGTCCATTATGAGATTATTGAAAAACGTGTTCTTTTTGTCATTTTAAAAACTTGTTTTCAAAAATTAAAAAAAAATGAAGTTTTGGTTTGGTTTTAACTGAAAACAACCGAAACAATTTTTTTGGCGTTTTCTGTTTTCTTTGTAAATTCTAAACTCGTTCTTGGAAATTCGTTTATGAAAATAGGTGAGTAAACATGATTTCAGTGTTTTCGAAAACTGAAAATCGACAATGAAAACAGCGAAGAGAACAGACCCTAAGAGGTTATAGCTCAGACGAAACCTAGTTCACTTCTCTAATTAAGTATGTTAATGGCTTCTTTCTTGCTTTTCTAATGAAAAATGTGATCCTCCACCCAATAGGAGCCCACCCTGAGAACGAGGAATCAGACTCAGATACTTTGAATCTTTACACACTAAATTTATAACTAGAACTACTGTGTACTCATCAGGGGAGCTATTTCTCTCTGCCATTTCATGAAGAAGTTCAATTACTTTTGGTGCCTCGTTATTATTACAAAATCCTCGCATAAGCGTATTAAAAGTGACCACAACAGGTGCACAACTTTCCTTTTCCATCTCCAGAAACAAATTATTCGCCTTTTCCATCTCACCATTTTTACAAAATCCATTAATCATGATGTTAAGAGGTAACAACTGTTGGTGCCAAGCCCTTTTGGGACAAGCTTTCAAATAGCTCAATGGCAGAATTAAGCTCTCCCGTTCTGCACAATCCATCAAGGACTCAAGTATAGATATTAATATCAAAAGTAGCGCTTTCTAGTGTGTGAAACAGCTTGATAGCCTTTGCATAGCAGTCATTCTCAAAGAATCCATGGATCATTATCGTATATGTAACAACATCAGGTACCAAGCCCCTCTGGGACAACCTCTCAAATAGCTCACTCGCAATATCAATCTCTCCTGCTTTACACAATCCATCAAGGACGCGATTATATACTTCAATGTGAAGATCAAAGCTAGATATTTCCAAAGAATGAAACAACTCCATTGCGTCTGCAACACAATTGTTTTTGAAAAATCCATCCAATAATTTTGTATAAGTAGCAGTATCCGGAATCACCTCATAAACTTTCATCTTTACAAAAAGTCCCCGTGCGACTTCAACATTACCTATTTTAAATAGACCAGTTAACAAAGTATTTAATGTAATTACTGTTGGCTTGTATTCTTCACGAATTATTTCTTTGAAAATCTTCATGGCCTTTTCCAACTTCTGACACTTACAAAAACCACTAATTAACACGCCGTAGCATACATCATTTTTCTTATGGCCTTTAGCTCCCCTGAAATCAAACAACTCCTTTGCATTGTCAATCCTATTCTCCAAGCAGAACCCATTCATCAGTATGCCATATGTCAATGAATTGGGCTCTTCACCCTTCTGAATCATCAAGTTTAACAGCCCTCTCACTTCATTAGTCTTCCTCATCTTACAAAGTGCCTGTATCAAGTCGGTAAAAATTACCACAATAGGCCGAATGCCATGATTCACCATTTCAATGAAGAACCGCTTTGCCTCCTCCCAGTCACCAACCTCATTCAAACCATGAATTAAGCCACCATACGTAACCAAGTTTGGCATAATTCCACTACCCTTCATCTCCAAAAATAATTGCTTGCCCTCGTCCACCAACCCCTCTTTACAAAGGCCATGAATAAGTGTGTTATAACAAACTGAATTAGGCGTTCCATTCCAGTTCCTAGCTTCTTGGTGTAACTTAAGCGCCATCACTGAGTTTCCACTCCTACACAGCC